TTAAAATAAATATTATCACTGGACAAGTTTTGTTTTTTTAAGGAGTAGTTTGATGCATGTATTCCTCATCTCGCCATGTTTCTACAGTAAATGTGTTGCTGGAACTAGCAGCAGATTAGCTTAGCTTAGCTTAGCATAAAGCCTGGACACAAGGGGAAACCACTGTTTCAAAATAGCTAAATCCATCTATTAGCACATGTAAAGCTACAATTCTCATTCGACAAATACACATGTTGTTTCATCTGTGTAGTAGCTGGTGCTAAAGCTTCAATTTGCTGCTTTAAATGGGGATAGTAGAAACAGTCCAGCTCATTACCCCACATTAAACAGCTAAATGTTTTATATAGCTCAAACTATTGTGATATAACATTGAAATTAGTGAGTTTTTAAAAGGTGCTGCTGATAGGATGTTGTTACCTTCCGAAAGAGCCGGGCTAGCTGCTTCCATCTGTTTCCAGTCTTTATGCTAAGCTAACTGGATATAGCTTCATATTTATCGATACTGAGTTTCATAATTCTGGCAATTTAATACATTTAGCCAGCCTTGTAGCCTAACATGTCATGTACATGATAAAACATAACCACTGAATGCCTTTAGCTTGTATATTATGGCACTTTCGTCAGTAGTATCCGAAACACTGACACTTGAGCTGCGCTAGGGTAATCTACTCTTCAACGACTTCAACCTTAACTGCAGTTTGAGACGAGCCTGTCTCTCTGACAGACTGTTAGTGAGAATATGATGGAGCACTTGGTCTTCAGGGGTGCGGTCCAGTGTTTGGGTGGATAAGGTTTCCTATTCATCCCAGTGTCCTATGTCCTACTTAATGAGCTTCCCCGGAACTCTTCTGATCCACTGAAGTCAGCTGCATTAACGTTAAATAAACAAGCAACAGACTTTTCTGTGAAAACATAACCTGACTGACATTGTTAATAATTAGCTAGGTTCCTTTTTACTGATATTGCCTCAGTTTCTGCTCCTGGAAAGCCATTGTTAAACAAACAGCAGTGTCCTTCTTTCGGTTATTTCAGGGTTTCTTTTGACACACAACTCATTCATTTCTCACAACCCTGCCTCAAAGTCTGATTTCTAAAAAAAGAAAATGACCCTTGTTCACTCTGGGCTTGTTTAAGAGGTGCCAACAACAGGCGGTTCAGTAATCTGTGTAGGTGTGTGGTCTGAGATTAAACAGTAATGATGCTGGGCTTCATGCCTACATGTGCCACGGTTAGATATTTCTCTTTGCTCGGGCCAAAGGGATTATAAAGCCATTTAATATCCATCGTTAAAGATAGCTGTTTCCTGTGAGCCCACTACTTTTCTTCTAGGAAAGACTGTATAGCCAGTGTTTACATGAGCTTGTGAGTCCAAAGTCTAATACATTTTTTACTAGCCACCCGTCAAAACTCTGTGAAAAGTATTCTAGAGAAAAAATTATTTAAAAAGGCAATCATCTTTTCAATCATATCTCTTTAGGAATCACATTTTAATACTGGAGTTATTTTAATTTTACCTTTTGTTATAAAAACGTCTAATTTAATCTAAAGAATAGAAGCCGACGCTCGTAGCCTGTTAATAAATGGAGAATGTGGACTTTTTCCTTAGATCTTATTACTTTATCCAGAATATTTAGAGTCTATTTCATTCAAACAAAGTTATTTGTCTGCTTTTAGTGAATTTTTTTAAACGAGGCATTAAGTGAACGTTGTTTTGGTGCCTGTACAAAAACTTGAAGACACCAGTATTAAAATATGTCAAAAAGACCTTGCCCTTATATCTTTTGCATTTAAAATGAATATTCAAAAAATATTACAGCTATATCTAACTTTTTTCCGATAAAGATGTAGCTCCTGTGCGTCATGTATATCCCCCTTAGTGTTTTAGTCAAACAATTTATATATAAACTTGCCTTGCAAAGGTGAACATTTGGATTTAAATGTTCAGTCATTAAGTCCATGCTCCCATATAAATTCCTCAAACCCACTTATAAAAGCTACGAAAATTACCCAGGAATGTAGCTGCTAACGTCAAGGTAGCGTCAAACATTTAAAAACGAGCAGATGTAGGATTTTTTTTACAGCCTCTCATTTCCCAAAGGCAAAAAGAAATCAAGCTGTCATCGAACATTCGGAGCTGCTGGAACAGAGACAGCAGCTGTCAGGGCGTAGCAGCAATCTTGGCCTTCATCTGCGAACTGACCGGCTCCATTCAACGGCCATTTGAGGCCTGATGTGCCAACTGTGAAAATAAGCGTGCACACACCCAGGGGCGCGCAGGGGAGGAGGCTCATCACTGTACCACACACACACACACACACACACACACACACACACACACACACACACACACACACACACACGACTGAACACCACCCACTGCTGCCTGCGACAACGTCAGTAAAACCATGAAACAAGACAACTGCTACTGTCAGCCTCGAGCACACATGGCCAGCAAACCAGAACAGGTGTGTGTGTGTGTGTGTGTGTGTGTGTGTGTGTGTGTGTGTGTGTGTGTGTGTGTGTGTGTGTGTGTGTGTGTGTGTGTGTATCTATCCGGATATGGTTGGATCAACAGGCCTGTCCTCTGCTCTGTGCTGTGATTCAAAGAGACCCCTCCACACGATCTGTCTTCATATTCAAACAAAGTATTGAGTAGACAGGAAGTGGCTGAATGAGCGCAGATCAGATACGGGACTCCGCTCCATTAGCCTGTGTGGGGCCACATATATTTCCTCATAAATCCAGTTAGACAAACATGTTTAGCTCAGATGAACCAAACCCATAAACAACATTACCCCATAACCATGTAGTTTCAGTTGTATCTCCTCTGGGTTTGAGATATCTACAGCGGCTGAGGGAAATCTAATTTGCTGTTCTTAAAGTATTTTACAATGACATTTGAAAACCTTAACAACAACAACATGCCTTTCAAATGAGCAACAATGCACACTAAAGGACCTACAGATGTAACAGATAACAGATTTAATAGGGACAGCCTTCTAAAGCTGCAAGTCATAAATAATAAATTGTGTTAATTGTTTCATCGTTAGTCATTTTTTATGCAAACAGTGCAATTGTTTTCGGCGTCCTCATTATGAAGATTTCCAGCTTTTCTCCATATATTATCATATTCAACTGGACATCGTTGGGTTTGGGACTGGGCATTCGCCTTGGACATATTATCTGACCTTTTATAGACCAATTGGTAAATCAACTCATCTAGAAAATAATAAGCAGATGATTTGATAACCAACAGAATCATTAGTTACTGTTTTCCAGCCATTGAAAACAACCCACAAACTGTCACGTGATTGCATTTGATAATTGATTTCCATATGTGTTAGTTTCTAGATTTTCGGGATGATTTGGTTTTCTCTGAGTCATATCTGTGTAAATTGAGTAAACATGACATTGGACGATTTCCCCTCGAGCGTTTAGACGTTTACCCGTTTAACAATGTAATACAACTAGATGTGATTACAGATGACAAGAATACCTTAATTCTCCCTGAAGAGAAAATTCATTTCACAGCTTTAAGTAGATATGTTCTGCTCCTAAATCAGACATTGAGTAACAGCTGTCGTATTAATAATATTGGTTGTTTTCAGGATTTTATCTCAATTTCTTGTCAATAAACTCAAGTAAACCACTGAGTGAAGAGGTGTCAGTTAAAGACAGAGAAGTTCTGTAATACAGCAACAAACATATTTTCATAATCAATAGATTCTTAAGGATATTTAAGTTGAAATGTCAAACATAGACTTTATCCTTCATCAATGTGAGGATTTGAATTGTAAGTCACCTTGTACTCTGTAAGGAGTCACTAGTTTTGACCTTGTATGGACTTAATGATAAAACAGAAAATAAAAAGATGGGTCATGACCTACTGGACCATATTAAGATATGTATTACCTCACCATGTTTAGTGATACTTCTACATGTGTGTCAACAGAATCTCTATACTGAACTAGCTTTACTGACTGTACTGTGATATGACTGTACAATCCCTGTTACAGTATATTTACAGTGACCATGCAATACTTCATTTATGTCCTGCTTTATATAGTATTCCCTCTGTCAGCACTGTATACCATACGTTAGTTCTTTGTATCTGAGCAATTATAAAAGTAGTCTATTCCTCGCACAGTAAGCCCATTACTCTCATGTTTACCATAAAATAAAGCACTTACAAAGACAGCATGTACATGAAGCCCCCACCACAGCTGGGTAAATCAGGGCCTGTTGCTACAGAAGAAACATGACTCTGTTTCACTTTGAATTCCAACATTTGATCAGCGCAAAAACGCATAAAGCCATTTGGACACATCTTAGCTTCCGACCGGTGGATGTGGTAACACGGATCAAGAGGCAAGCGGCATCAATAATTCAACAACACTACACATGCACAAAAGGCTGACTTACTGTGAGGAACCAGCAGCATTTAGGGCGAATATAGAAGAGTTGTGCGACCTACAAAATGAAAAGGGAGGGTGCTGTAGTACAGGCAGGACAATGGGAGACTCCCAGGCCCCACCGGTGGCGTCCTGATGCCAAATGATCCAGAAATGCTCCTTTTCTTCCGCCTTTGCGTCTCCAAACGGGACGCCCTCACAGTAAATGAATGAGGCACTCAGAAATTCAAAATCCCTCGGCCTACAGTAATCAAACTGGGCGCGATTATCCCCCCCATGCTCATCCCCTCTCCGTGGACCCTTTCTATCCTCTGGTCATAAACATTACCCCCTTCCTCCCACGTTTGAAATCGCCCCTCAGAGCTACGTGGCCTCGGTGAGAACAACAATAGGGACGCCAAGGGTCCTTAACTTCCCTGTGGTTATAAAAAAAAAAGGCGACCATCGCGTCCAGTCGACTATTGTTTGGGGAAACCGGAGATCTCCGAGCCCTGCCCTCCGCCTGCGTAAAAGCAGCGCACATGCACCCGTACTCCAACCACCAAGCAGCATTTTAAAATACATTTTCAACACAAAAATACGACTTACTTAGTGTAGATTGTCCATTCAGGTATTTTCTCACTTTCCACTTTCTTTCCACTCAGCCGTAGCACCGTGCGCCCCGCCTCCGCTCCCTTTGGCCCCTCCTCTGCCCCCGGGGGACAGGGCCTGTGAGACGGTGTGTTCACAAAACACTAATAATCTGTGTGTGTGTGTGTGTGTGTGTGTGTCCACTAAGTGAGCAGTGGTCAGTATTATGTCACAAAATAAGTGGCCCATTAAAAAGAGCAACATGTAATGGAGCTAATGATGGGAAGATCCTACCAGAACAACAATCAACATCATCATTAAAAAGCTGTTAAAAACGACTATTGGTCCAGATGCATTCAAACGCTATTACATACAGGAAAATATGATATAACCAAAAAAAGTAGTCCTTTAACATGTTAAACTCATAAGGGTAAATTAAGAGCTTGGTTAATCATGTTGTGCCCTCACTTATTAAAGACACAACATGCATTTATTAAATGCTTTTTTTTTAATAACTCCCATTTATTTGATTGGATTGTTCTCAATGACTCAATGGTCAAATTAATTAAACCTGATTATTTATTTGTAGAATCAGGCTGTTTCTCGCTGTAAGAACAAACCAAAGGAACCAACACATATAAACCTCTTTAAAAACCCTTAAAGATAAAAAAAAATGAAGAAGAAATGAATGGTAAATGTGTTTTTAGCTTAAAATCTACGGGTTCAGGACCCCTCCAACTGACCAGTCACAGGATGGTAAACGGGATAAAAAAAACCTACTGCAGTTCTTCTAAACAAATGATAAGTTTTTCAGAATTGTTTTCAATCTGTGAACTTTCGTAAAATACTGGATTTATTTGTTGTAAGCCTCAGGGTAGTAAATGTATCTGATGCGCTGCTTACAGCTCATTGACTCCATGTTTCCGGGGTCAAAAGGTCAAAAGGCTGAAAACCAGTGGTGTCGTGTATCCAAAGAGAGACAATTAGGCTTTCTCCGTGTGGTTCAGGTGAAGTGACCCCAACACATGGACTGCGGTTGTACAAAAAAAACACACATCCCAATACTTTGTCTCCAGCGTACCAATTATATTTCATGCTGACACATTTTTGGCAAACAAAAAGTGAAGCAAGGAAGAAATAATGATTGAGATGTGATTTGGGATAAAGGGTTACCCGTTTATTTTTAGATGATTTATTCCAAAAGGAGGATATCACTCTTGAGGTGCTTTGATAAAGGCTCGTTTGTTTAAATGTTTAAATAAAATGGTAAACGGAGGAACCAGTATTTGGCTGATTATATTTCACGAGACTTTTGGGTGCAACGCTTCCAGTCAATGGTTGACAGTAACTTATTTACTAAAGTACTTAAGGTACTTTGTTTGAGTATTTCCATTTCCTGCTACTTAAAATATTCGGTAATTCGGAATAATAATAATACAGTATAAAATCAACAAATTATGAATCTAATATTATTATTAAAGGTTACTTTTGGATCTGATATTGAAATTAACAAGCTATCCGGGAATATATAGTACACAACAGAAAAAGCTTCTACTTGACTAACCCTGAAGTATATAATATAATATAGTATATGTTGTGTGTTGATGTGCAGAATAAGCGGTTTTACTTTTTGTAATTTAAGTATATTTTAATGCTAATGTATTTGTACTTAACTTTTTATGCAAGGATTTCACTTGTAGCATTTTGACAGTGATGTTACTTTTCTTTTACCATAGTTAAAGATCTAATTTCATCGTCCACCTCAAACTCCAGCGTTATTCATAACAGGAATCTCTTCAGGGCAACACGTCACATTTCAGCAGTTTGTTGACAATTAAAGGAAAGAAAAAAAAATGGAAAAAAAAGCAATGTTTATTTCTTCATCAAGGCATCACAATTGGTCGTTGATTCCAGCCGTTACATTACAACAAAATTAATTAAAACCCTTCAGCGTGTTGAAACTTTTCTTTACAAAGTCATCATTAAAAGAAACCTTGTTAAAAAAGGTTTAAACCAAAAGGAGTGCACAACCAGAGCACCAGCGCATTGTACGTGCCGAAACACAAGATTTTCTGACTGGATTTAACGTTTGAATCGATATAAAGTAAAGTGTGTCTGCCATGCCGTGCTCAGGGGGAATTCTTCTTCTCCACACAAATATCACAATATGTGAAATTGCAGTGGGTCTACCACTACATTCATGTGTAGTATTTATATGTGTACTGGGACTCCGCAAATATAAATATTTAGGATTGTTGTCCAAGAACCGAAAACTTATCAAAAACGCCACCACACATTTCCAGAATTAGCAAAAAAAACTTAAATTTAACTACTTGTTCACTGACTCAAAAAAGTGGTTTCTTCTTATTAGAACTGATTGATAAGTTAACTATAATGACAGAGAAGACAGCTACCAGTATTGCACATACCATCGCAATCCTCATTCAAGGTTCAGACACACACACACACACACACACACACACTGATAATCATCTCCTACACACTCACACACTCGGTCACATTTACATATTCACAATCAGACACATATGTTCAAAGTAATGCTCAATGTTTAGTGCCTATCCCAGGACAGAGTAAACATTCTTTGAGAATAAAAAGAGAAAACAAAAAACCTTTAAAACAAAAAGAAATATTAACATCTTGTCCACTGACAGGGCCTGTTTGACCCTGATGAGTCCAGATCTGTCCAGTCCGGTCCAGTCTTCATGTCCCGCCTCACCTGAGTGAGTCCTTAAACATGGAGTAGTCGGAAGAAAAAAAAAAAGAGAAAAACCTCTGCTTCTGTGTCTAACCTGTCCGTGTACCTACTTGTGACGTGTTTTAAAGAAAAGACCGTGTTCATGTCAGGGTGGGGCAGAAGTAGTACTTGTAGAAATAGTAGTAGTAGTATTAGAAGTAGTAGTGGTCAGTCTGGATCAGTAGGTGGCGTTGGCGGGTTCCCGTCCCGAGCTGAAGAGGATGTCGGCCTTCGAGCTCATGATGTACGTCAGCAGGAGGGAGGCCATCAGCACGCCGATGCCCACACCCAGCGTCATCATCTGGGGGGGGAAAACAGACAGTTAGCATCATTACAAAACACTCGCTGCTATATGACATGTGCAATATTATTCTACAATAACGTGCAATTACGTATCTGCCACTACGTTTTTTTTGCACTACTGAATACTGAGAATATTTACATTAATTATGTGACCGTCTATGTTTCATGTTTCCTGTAGATATTTAACTGCTGTGTTTATTGTATTTTTGTAACTCTGGCACAACAATTTCCTTCGGGATAAATAAAGTCTTTTTATTTTAGCTTACAGGGAAGAGTTCAAAATCCATTAACAGAGTGAAAAGCTGGATTCCCCCTTTGGGATGAACAAAAGGCCATCTTCCTCTTAAAGAGATCTGCATGTTACTGTTGTTTTCCTAACGTACCCATAGCAGACACAAAGCAACATTAAAATTGCTTGTAGTTGTGTTTATTTGATCAATTTGATGAAATCAAGTCAAATATTTCCACCCATTTTAGCTACTTTTTGGTCTCCACTGGCACTGAAAACTATGTTCACCAGCTAGTCACTAACTAGTCTGCTGCTGAACAACAAAAGGTCTTCTCACCAAACAGGCCTTCATCAATCATTGAATGCAACCAAATAATATCCTGTGTGTAAGCTGCATTTATAAATGGTATTGCTTTTCAATGTTGTAACTACTTCTACATGTTCCCTGTTACGGTCCTTTTGTACCAGAGGTCGCGTTAACCGAATATTTTCCGTCTATGACGATTTCTTTTAACAATGACGGAAAAATCTGAAAGCAGTCCGTCATTTTGACAGATTAGAACAAACTCGGAACAGCGCCAAAGTTTCCCCGCAGCGAGGCTCCGGTGTTATGCCGTGTTATGCATGCCCGCCAAAAAGGAAGTTATATCGTTTCCAAACCTAACTGTGCCGTACAAATCATTTAAATGTTTGAGAGTTTTTGCTTTACGCTGTGCATAACATAACACGGCATAACACCGGCGCTAACAGTTCACGAGAGTGCGTTCTNCGCCAAAGTTTCCCCGCAGCGAGGCTCCGGTGTTATGCCGTGTTATGCATGCCCGCCAAAAAGGAAGTTATATCGTTTCCAAACCGTACTTTACCGAATAAATAATTTAAATGTCCGTGAGTTTTTGCTTTACACTGTGCATAACATAACACCGGCGCTAACAGTTCACGAGCGTGTGTTCGTGTGTGTTGTTCGTGTGTGTTGTTGTTCTCTCTCTCTCTCTCTCTCTCTCTCCGTCGGTCCGCTTATCTCTGTCTGCCCGCCAAAAAAGGAAGTCTCTTCATCTACTCTGCTCGATTCAAACCGTTCCACCTTTTCACACTCCCCCTCAGAACTCAACTCATCTCATTTCAATACCTCGTTCGTCGAGTTTTGCGCCTTTACGCTGTGCAACTAACACATAACATCCCACGCTCGCTAACACTCCTTCACCCGACCGTTCTCGTGTCGTCCTCTCGTTGTGCGTGATCTCTCGGCGCTCATCTTCTCCCTCCCGTCTCCTCTTCTCCCCTCTCTCTCTCTCTTCCTCTCTCCCTTCCATTTAGGCTTATCTTGGCAATGAAAGTTCTATCTTCTCTAATACACAATGTTGCCAAAGCATCATCACATACATCAATAATCTTCTACACATCTCCTCCGTCTCTCTCTCTCTCTCCTCTCCTCTCGTCCTCTCTCTCTCTCCTCTCTCCCTCTCTTCTCTCTCCCTCTCTCCTCTCTCCCTCTCTCAACCTCTCTCTCTTTCTTCTCCTCTCTCTTCTCACTCTCCCATTCCAATGGGCTTTATTGGCATGAAAGTTAAATTCTAAACAATGTTGCCAAAGCATTCACAATACAAATAATAACAACTTACATACTTCAAATGTTTACATATTATTGATGATATATATATATACAGTGATACAATTACATTTCAACACGTGTGTGTGTGTGTGTGTCTCATTCACTGTCTCTCTCTCTCTCTCTCTCTCTCTCTCATCAGAGTTGTGTACAGAGTAGACCGATGTTACGATCCTGTCCGTCAAAATGACGGGCAGCGAAAAAGTCTATGAATAATAATAATTCCTTACATTTAAAATAGCGCTTTGAAAGGCGCCTCTAAATAGAATGAATACCGTAATTTTCGGACTATAAGCCGCGCCTTTTTCCCTATTTTTCGACGCTGCGGTTTATATAACGGTGCGGCTAATCTATGGATTTTTACAGCTAACGGCCAACACCTTTAACTCTATTGGGAATCATGCCCGGTCCGCCGGACCCCCACCTTTAAGCGGCGCGGGTTCCAGCAGGAAAGAGCTGGAGGCCGGAAAGAAGTGAGACAGTGTAGCGCGCAAAAGGAAAAGTGGAACCGAGAGTGGTTAAAGCCGCTGCTGCGGCTTATATTCAGGTGCCCTTATAGTCCGAAATTAAAGGTAATTCCTTTCTGTTATGTCCACTACCGTCTCTAAGAAAGCACTAATTGAGCGTCAGCATCACCTCCGCAGCATCACTTGTGTGGTTTAAAATGAGGAAGCGACGTTACCTCCAGGTCGGGACTCGCCACCAGGAAATGCGACTTTGATGACCTTCACAGCCGGGCTCTGTCCAGTGGAGTAATCTTTGGAGTGTACTCCTTCAGGTCGAAGGCCGGGGAACAGGAGCTTGGAGAGACCCCGGTGGAGCGAACGCAGAACCTCTCGTCTCAGCTGCTGTTTCAGCGCGGGCGCCGCGCCCTGGACCACATGGTACGGAATCAAATACATCTGAGGAAGAGAGGGGGAAATAAACGATTATTACTTCTTATTTCCTAAACATATATCAAAAGCGCGCTGCAGATTTACAGTTTCCAATAGATCACACTTTCTTCGTAACAACTGAGGGAGAAAGGGGAATAAAACATGTCGATATGTCGCCTTATTTATGTTTGCGTAGTAATTTGTATTTCAAGGTAAGGAGTTAGAGTTTATACTGTTGTTTTATTTTTGTCCTATGTAGGGCGGTCAATGCACATTTTAATAACTCTACTATGTACTACTACTACTAACTCTACTATTACCTCATAACTACTACTACTACTACAATCATATTAATTGAATATTTGTTTGGATTTGAGACTGGTTGTTTCAACAAAACAATATTAGCAAAACCTGTGAAAGACATTTTAATCTATTTTCTAATAAAAATGTGTTAATACAAATTATTGTTGTTCCCGCCTTAATTAATTTTTCAGTTTTCCTTTCTATTCTCCATTTCTTCAAGAAGTTTTGGCCGGTAAAAAAGGGATGAATTTACAGAGCCTCTGAGATGCATTCTACGGAACTTTTTGGTACAGACCGCCCGGATAAATGACAAATCAGAATGTAAATGGAGACAAAGTAAGCTCTATGGGTCTACATGTTTGCTCCTCTCGTCCTTCTTCGTTCTCTCTCTGGTATCTTGCAGTTCCCCATGGTGAGATCGTTGGAAGTGCTGGCCCGGTCATGTTGGCGCAGCAGATACTGGAACCAGGAGGGTCGGCTGCGCTGACTGGCCTGCTGCGCCACGCCCAAACCACAAGTAGAAAGTTTGTGGGTCTACACACAGATACACCAGGAAATACATTTAGTTCATCTTCCAATAAAAGGAATATTTTGGTAGGCCTGATACGTTAAAAAGTACTTTCTTTAAAAATGATGACTGTTTTTTGTAAACCCAGGGGCTCCATGAGTCGAGGGACTAGTCTGCTGCGCAACCAGGTGGTTAATTTTTGTTCTAATCAAGGAACGTACAGCAGCCGGAGTCACCTCTGAGCGGAGAGAAACGATACAGTCTCCGCTGCTGCCGTGCTACATACAAATATGGAACCAATAAGAATGAGCGTCCCGGTGAAGAAAGATCCAACAGAAGAAAGAACCAACAGAAAAACTGTGTTTGAAAATCATTGGGTAATACAAATTTCAAACTGCACTTCAAGGAGACGGAACGAGAACGAGACAGAACACTGCAGTTTAATAACGCAACGTGTAAAAGGAAGAAACTAAATGAATATAATCCCAAAAATTTTAAAAAGTAACATTGGCAAATATCATGCTGCAAAACCTTTGCTACTGTATAACACTTTACATCCATATTCTCCCCACAAGTCAATATGAAAACAAACGATCCTGTGAAAAATCTGTAAGCTTATCTGACTAAAAGCACTAACATGTAAGCACATTAGGACTTTGACTTTAGAGAAC